CAAACAAATGTGAGCTAGGTGAAAACACAGACAAACATAGATAAACTGGTGAACATACATGTATGTGGTGAGATAAGAAACATTTGTCTGTATTCAGCTCTCAACAATCTCTTGATCAAATCTTGTTCAGCTGTTTCCCTTTGGGATCTGCCTTCTTTATGTTTCACCAAGAGAAGTTGCACTTTACTCCGTAGGCCTTCATTGCATCTTTCCAGATAGGCACTTTTTTGGCGATTGGGATAACCATTTGACTCCTTGGCATCTTTTCTCCAGAAAGAACTTGTTTTTGGATTATTATTGCTTTTTTAAAGCATTCAGCTACCAGTGTTGTATTAGCACAGTGTTATCTTCAAAATTATTATTTTTTGTTCGAACCAGTATATTGATTTTCAGTGACAAGCATGTAGAATTGACTGAATGAGTTTCATGGCTACCTGTTGAACATTGCCATCCTATACTATTGAAAAAACTTGCAGCTTAATTCTTCCCCTTTTCCTCCTCTTTTTGTATCTTTGAGATTGTGCATTTACTTATATGCTCAACCCAATGATTAGCAGAAGGAAACTCCCCAAACTGGAGAAAAGAGAACACGTTTTCCTCAACCCTGGTCTGTTTTAGGCAGCTAAGGATAGAGAGGGTGATTTGAAGGTCTCTCCTTCATGGAGCTGCCATAAGTTGATTTTGACCTGAGGGCAGTTAACAGCAATGATAACATGGGAAACATTTTACCACTTGCACCAGGAGTGGCCTCCTACAAATGCAGTGGCAAGAATAAAATGTCTGGGAGAGATGATAATCTGGAAAAAGCACTTCAGCTACAATATAGGCAGTCCGTGAGTTTCTCATGAAACAAGCAGGCTTTTAAACTTTTAAAATGTATGATTCTAAAAGTTTCCTATCAGTGTCACAGCATGGGAGGCCCTTCCATACAGCTCTATATCCCAGAAAATCAAGGCAGAAAATCCCACAACATCTGCTTTGAACTGGGTTATCTGAGTCCACACTCAGTTAATGTGGGATTTTTTGCCTTGATATTCTGGAATATAGGGCTGTGTGGAAGGGTCCTTTGAGAGTAATCTAGTCCAAATCTCTGGTGAAGAAAAGAAGTGCAGTTCATACTGCAATTACACTAAAGAGAGACAGTGGAGCCACTCCCAGTATGGACAGTCCCCAAGTTATAAACATCTGATTTACAAATGCCTTGATATACCCCAGAATATCAAGGCAGAATAACACACAATATCCACTTTGAACTGGAATATCTGAGTCCACACTGCCATATATCCCAGTTCAAAGCAGAAAATGTGGGATTTTATTAAGCTGTGTGGAAGAGGCCTCACTGCTAATAAAGGGGGGGGGGGGGGGGGGGGAGAGAGACAACAAGAAGTGAGAGAAATCTAACCCAGGAAGGGAAACTTACTCCTAGAAGAGTGGTCATGGGAAAGGGTGTCTCAATTGAAGCTTTACCATCAATCCTCATTTCCTCAATAAGCCATTTTTTTCAAAATCCAGTTATCACAGGGACAAAAAGATAAAATCTTCTGAACAGGGGCTCAGACAGCAAAACAAACACCACAGGGGTGTTAACCTTTCCCTATGCTATCTATATTCATATGGTTGGAGTTACGGTATATTCTGGTGTATAAGACTACTTCTTAACCCAAGAAAATCTTCTCAAAAGTCAGGGGTCGTCTTATACACGGGTGTAGTCTTATGCATGGGAGTCGTCTTAACTCTATATTTTAACTGGAAAAGTTGGGGGTCATCTTATACGCCCAGTCGTCTTATATGCCGGAATATACGGTACACCTGTTCCGTACTTATTCTGACTTGCATACAAATTCAACTTAAGAACAAACCTAAATAATAATAATAATAATATTTTTAATATTTGTATCCCGCTTTTCTCCCTAATGGGACCTAAAGTGGCTCACAACATAATACAGTACAAATCTTAACTTGGGAGCAGCTTGTACTGGTGCCTCAAATGTTAGACCTGTTTCTGGGTATTTTTGACCAGCTGATTCCAAACATGGTGCCTGTTTCCCCCTATCCACTCTAGTTTTTGAGATGCTACCTACCAGTTGCTACCTGCTTGCCATAGAAAATCAGGATAGCCATATCTAAATCATATCTAAGAAACTAGAGCTGAAGCAGCCTATCCAATGCAATTTCCTGAATCAGTGTTACAAATAACTCTAAGAACAGGTTGAAAAATAAAGACACACACATTTTTTTTGGGGGGGGGGAGGGTTGGGCTATATATTGGATGACATCTGTGGAAAGGCAAGAGGTTTTGTCGCCATGGGTTCAGGCGATATCAGGGCTGAGTTAGAGAGACCAGGCGACTTGTGCCCCTTTTCCTCCGTTGCCCTTTTTGCCTTATTTCATAGAAGTGAAAATTCTGTTTTGTCCTGAAGGAAACTGTTAAGCCCCACTGAAGGTGCTGTCAAGTGCAGCCTCTTCCCTAGCCAGTGCTCTATTCCTTGACTTGAGTGCAGAAGAAGATCCAAGGGGGCAAACATTTGTTGGGGAAGAGCCTATACACACACAGCCTGAGCCTGGAAGGCGGGTCTCAGTACATTCGAGGCTGAATGCTCTCTGCTTCCCTGGCCCCATTTACACTGTCATATAATGCCGTTTGAACTGCGTTATATAGTCAGTGTTAACTCATGTAATGCAGAATGTACTACACTGAACTGGGTTATGAGTCTACCCTGCTGTGCTGTATAATCCAGTTCAATCTGCATTATAATGAATTAATGTTATTACGGTCTCAGACCAGAAGTCTGAAATGGTAAAACATTAAAACCGGAAGTTCAAAACATTAAGAGCAGAAAGTCCCAAGATATACATTGGACTAATATCTAAAAACAAGTCTAAAACATGGAGAGTCTGAAGCATGGTTTACAAATGACACTTGATGAAAATCTGTGAAAACAGGTGTTATAATATATAGATTAAAACATCCATTAAAATGTGTTGTCGAAGGCTTTCATGGCTGGAATCACTGGGTTGCTGTGAGTTTTCTGAGCTGTATGGCCATATTCCAGAAGCATTCTCTCCTGACATTTTGCCCACATCTATGGCAGGCATCCTTAGAGGTTGAGAGGGCTGTTGGAAACCAGGCAAGTGAGGTTGATATACCTGTGGAATGTCCAGGGCGGGAGAAAGAACTCTTGTCTGCTTAAGGCAAGTGTGAATGTTGCAAATGGCCACCTTGATGAGCATTTAATGGCCTTGCAGCTTCAAAGCCTGGCTGGTTGCTGCCTGGGAGAATCCTTTGTTGGGATCTTCCGCAATCACACATCTTAATTTCATAGATGCCGCACACAAAAAACTGCCACTATGAAAGTGATCCATGGTTCCCTATCCTCTATTAGAGATTATAAATACAGATATGGATTGGGTCCTTGCAGCCACCCCCCCGGAATGGCTTCGCTCGCTCACTGCCTCCCTCTCTTCCTTCCCTCGTTTTTTTGGGCTGCGGAATCCAGTTCCTGCAGGAGGATGATCCACGCCGCCTCTTTCTTCCTTCCTTTCTCCTCACACAGCAGAGCCCGCTGCTCCCGAGTCTTGCCTTGTTGCCAGAAAAAAAGAGGGGGAAAAGCTCCAGGCATCTCCCTCCTTTGTACAGGGAGGGAGGGACGGGTGAAATTGCAGGGAAAGCGGGGGAGAGCGCGAGCTGGCGAGCGCGTGCACGGGCAGGAGGAGGAGGAGGATGGTTCTGGCGCGCGCCAGGCCTTGTCAGGACCCTCTGAGGGGAGAGAGGGAGGGAGGGGGGAGGGAGGCAGTTGGAAGGAGCAGGAGGATGGGCAAGGCGCGCCCCCGGCCTTGTCAAGAACATGTGAGGGAGTTGGAGGAGGATGGCCCTGGGGGCGGGGGAGGCAGTTGGAAAGGAGTAGGAGGATGGCTAATAAATAATAATAATAATAATAATAATAATAATAATAATAATAATAATAATAATAAATTTTTATTTATATCCCCTCCATCTCCCCCGAAGCGCGCCCGGCCTAGTCAGGAACATCTGAGAGAGCGAGCGGGAGGGAGGGAGGCAGTTGGAGGGAGGATGGCTCTGACGCGCGCCAGGCCTTGTCAGGAGCATCTGAGCGAGCGAAAGGGAGGATGGCCCTGGCGCGCGCCCGGCTCTGACATCTGAGGGGAGGGGGAGGCAGTTGGAGAGATGAGGAGGATGGCTTGTCGCGCCCGGCCTTGTCAGTAGCCTCTGAGCGAGCGAAAGGGAGGATGGCCCTGGCGCGCGCGCCCGGCTCTGTCATCTGAGGGGAGGGGGAGGCAGTTGGAGGAATGAGGAGGATGGCTCTGACGCGCGCCAGGCCTTGTCAGGAGCATCTGAGCGAGCGAAAGGGAGGATGGCCCTGGCGCGCGCCCGGCTCTGACATCTGAGGGGAGGGGGAGGCAGTTGGAGAGATGAGGAGGATGGCTTGTCAGGAGCATCTGAAGGAGGGAGGGGGAGGCAGTTGGATGGTCAAGGCGCGCGCCCGGCCTTGTCAGGAGCGCGCGCTCTCAGAGGCAGGCACTGGCAGTTATAGAGTACTCGCTCTCTCGCGCCCATTTGGGAAGCCTCCTCTCCTCAGAGACATTTATATGAGGGCCTGTATGAGGGAGGCGTCGTCAAGCACGTACCCCCCCCCCCCCCCCCCACATAACACAACAACTACTGGATTTGAACCCTAATGGTTGTGGGGGGGGGGGCGCTCTCGCAGTGACACGCCCCCCTCCCCTCCTCGCCACCCGAGACTGCGCCTGCGCACTGGAGCCTCCAGGGATCTTTCTGGCCCTTCGTTAGAGGCGCAGAGGGATCCTCATCTTCGCCCCCCCCTCTCCTAAACGATTCAGGAATAACACCCTCTCTGTGTGCCTCGAGGCAGCACCTCCCCTCCGTGTCGCGAGCTGAGGGGCGGAGCCATCGACGCGCTCCTGAGGAAGAGAGGGAGGAAGAGAGAGAGGGAGGAAGAGAGGGAGGGAGAGAAAGAGGGCGACGTCGCCGCCTCCGCTGTTGCTGTTGCTGCTGCTGCCAAAACGAGGGAGGGAGGGAGGGAGAGAGGGAGAGGGAGGCTCGCGCGCGCTGGGCACCTCGGGAAAAGGAGGGGGGGCTCGGCGTCGGGCGCGCGGCGGAGGCGCCTGGGACCCGGAGGGAAGGAAGGAAGGAAGGAGTGAGGGAAAGGCAGGCGGGTGGGCGCCGCCGCCGACACGACGCTCGGAGAGACTCGCTTTCTCGCCGCCGCCCTGCCTCACCCCGGAGAGGGACGGACGGACGGACGGACCCCCCCCCATCTGCCCCCTTTCGGTGAGTCTTGCGCCCCTCCCTCTCCTGGATCGGGCCTACGCCTGGTCCTCGCTCTTCCTTCAGAGGGAAGGAAGGAGAGTGTGTGTATGTGTGTGTGGGGGGTGTCCTTTCATTCCCTCAGGGCTGAGTGCCGCCCCCGCTTTTGAAGAGGCGCCCCCTGCTTCCTCCCAGCGCGCGCCCATCTCTCTCTCTCTCTCTCTCTCCCTCAATGGCCGTCAGCACCACCAACACGGCAGAAAAAGCAGCCCTCCATCCCTCCCTAGGCCTCCGGGCATCAGACTCCCGCGGCAGGCAGGCCAGGCAAGCGAGTGCCTTGAAGTCCCGCCAGGCCCCGCCGCCCCCGGAAGTGCTCTCCTGTTTGAGGGAGAGAAGGGCTGCTTCTCGTCCCTCCAAAAACCGAAAGGGAGCCAGTCGTACACTCAACCTTTGCTCTTGACTCGCCTAGACCAGCCTAGACATGGACTGGGTTGTTGTAGGTTTTTCGGGCTATATGGCCATCTTCTAGAAGCATTCTCTCCTGACGCTTCACTTGCATCTATAGCAAGCATTCTCAGAAGTTGTGATGTCTGTTGGAACTAGGAAATTTGGGTTTATATATCTGTGACAGCAGGCATGTAGCCGGGGGGGGGGGGTGAGGGGCTTGAGCCCCCCCCCTGAAATTCTCATGGTGGTTCGCGAAAAGACCTTACTGGCGCATTATTTAAACTGTTATGTTTATTCATATCATGATCTGATCACCATGCTCAATATATCCCATATGCATGGGGGTATTGGGGTAATGATACAAAAGGTTTGCTAGGGTAGACCCTCTTTCACTCAGACTCAAACCCCCCCCCCCCCCCGAAACAAAATCCTGGCTATGGGCCTGTGTGACAGTACATAGACCTGGATTGCCTGCTCCAATAGCCTACTTCACCATCCAGCCAGTTAGGTGTTGAGTACCCGCGGAGTCCAGTTATACTTTGGAGGGCCTCGGTCCGCTGGGACACCCATACCAGGGCCCTTCCACACAGTCATCTCACCCAGATCTCTTCCACACAGCCCTATATCCCAGAATATCAAGGCAGAAAATCCCACATTATCTGCTTTGGACTGGGTTATCTGAGTCCAACGTGCCATATAACCCAGTTCAAAGCAGATGTGGGATTTTATACAGCTGTGTGGAAGGGGCCTCTGATAACCCAGTTCAAAGCAGATATTGTGGGATTTTCTCCCTTTGATATTATGGGATATAGGGCTATATGGAAGGGCCCTGGAATATATGGCAGCGTGGACTCAGATAACTCAGTTCAAAGCTGATATTGTGGGATATTCACCCTTGATATTCTGGGATATAGGGCTATGTGGAAGGGCCCTGGGATATATGGCAGTGTGGACTCAGATAACCCAGTTCAAAGCTGATATTGTGGGATTTTCTGCCTTAATATTCTGGGATATGGGGCTGTGTGGAAGGGCTTTGAGTCCACACTATCATACAGTCACTGTCTGAATGTATCTTCTGCTATGAACCATTGCAAAGTCTAAGATCGACAGGAGAGGCCTTGCTCTCGGTCCCACCATCCTCACAAGTGTGACTGGTGAAGACAAGAGACAGGTCTTTCTCAGTGGTGGCCCCTTGCCTGTGGAACTCTATCCAGTGACATTAGATTGTCCCCCTTCCTCTTGTCCTTTAGGATGAAACTCAAAGCCTGGTTATGGGACCATGCATTCAAACAGTAGAAGCAGCAATTTAGAATGAGACCCAATTTATGTGAATGACAATGGACTGACCTGGATTATGATTTCAAACCTGTGTGATTTAAACAATGTTTTTTTAATGTTTTAATTGCTTTTATCATTTATTACTGTTGCTGGCATTGAATGAATGCCTGTTGTGAAGCCGTCCTGAGTCCCCTTCCAGGGGTGAGGAGAATGGGATACAAATATGCAAAATGAATGAATAAATAAATATATTCCAGTTCAAAGCAGATAATCTGGGATTTTATTCAGCTGTGTGGAAGGGGCCCCAAAGTCCGCCCACCAGTGTCATTATATGCTAGACTACACCTTCTGTCTTCCTCGTCATTCCTACACCTCTAGAGCTGATGGGAGTTTATTTATTTATTTACTTCATTCATATACCACTTTTCTCTCCCCCAGAGGGACTCAAAGCGGTTTCCAACATATTCACGGCAAAATTCAATGCTTCACAAACATATGAAAACCTAACATAAAAACAACAATAACATAAAAACTGTCAATTAAATCATAACATGTAATAACATTTAAACATTAAAACATGGAGTTAAAACATATTAATATAAACATTAAAATCACATGATCCAAAAGCATAATCCAGACTGTTCTAATATCAAATAACAATTGTACATATCCCTGTTTGTCCCTTGTATTGCTTACTGTCCAAATGCTTGGTTCCACAGCCATGTTGTTGCTTTTATTCTGAAGGCCAAGAGGGAAGGCGCTGATCTAATTTCTTTGGGGAGGGAGTTCCATAGAGAAGGAGCCACCACTGAGAAGGCCCTGTCTCTCATCCCTACCAGTTGCGTCTGCAAAGGAGGCAGGACTGAGAGCAGGGCCTCCCGGAAGTTGTGATACAGTGACACCTGGAAAGCTGCAATGTGTTCTGTTCAGTCAGGATGGTGGGGTTTGGATTCAAATAGAAGGCATGTGGATATGATCTCTGGTTTTAAGCTTGCCCCAGACTCAGAGCAACAAGTGCTGTGGGGTTGCCATTCCCATTATCCCCATTCCACATGGTGGATAATTAAAAGTGATGGGAATTCTGTAACATCTAACATCCCAAACTGGGTAATAACCTAAAAAGCACTAAACACTGTAAACATATTTATACTTGGCCTTCTGTCTCCATGGATTCTCCATCGATTGATTCGATGGCCCTTTGAAGACAACCACAAGGCTGGTGTGGCCCTCAATGAAAATGAATTTGATATTGCTGCACTAGAACATTAAGCGAGGGCTTGATTAAAGAAGCTGTCTTTTAACTGCGACGTGTGCTGTACCTGCAAGTCCAGAGAAGCAGATGCCTTCTTGAATTCTGTGATTGTCTGGGCGCACTTACAGAAAACCTAGACCAGTGTTTCTCAACCTTCCTAATGCCGCGACCCCTTAATACATTTTTGCTTGTTGTGGTGACCCCCCAAACATAAAATTATTTTCACTGCTACTTCATAACTATAATTTTGCTACTGTTATGAATCGTCATGTAAATATCTGATACGCAGGATGGATTTTCATTAACTGGACCACATTTGGCGCAAATACCCAATACACCCAAATTTGAATACTGGTGGGGTTGCGGGGGGTTGATTTTTTCATTTGGGAGTTGTCGTTGCTGGGATTTATGGTACACCTACAATCAAAAAGTCTTCTGTATTCCACCTACAATGGAATTGAACCAAACTTGGCACACAGAACTCACATGGCAAACAGAAAATACTGGAAGGGTTTGGTGGGCATTGACCTTGAGTTTGGGAGTTGTAGTTCACCTACATCTAGAGAGCACTGTGGACTCAAACAATGATAGATCTGGACCAAACTTGGCACAAATACTCAATATGGCCAAATGCAAACACTGGTAGAATTTGGGGAAAACAGATCTTGACATTTGGGAGTTGAAGTTGCTAGGATTTATAGTTCACCTACAATCAAAGAGCATTCTGAACCCCACCAACAATAGAATTGGGCTAAACATCCCACATAAAACCCTTATGACCAACAGAAAATACTGTGTTTTCAGATGGTCTTTGGTGACCTCTCTGACACCCCTTCGCGACCCCTCCAGGGGTCCCAACCCCCAGGTTGAGAAACACTGACCTAGACCCATAGTTGGGAGGGAAAGGCTGTAGTAATAGTGGATTGCTGGCTGAGGATTTTGTGGCTGAAATCTCTGACTACGCTGCATTACAGTATAAACCCTTTGTCCACAGATTCGATATCTGTGGTTTCACTTACCCACACTTCAAAAAAATACAGCCCCCCCCCCCCCACAAAGTGTACTACAAAAAATACAGCCCCCCCCCAAAGCGTATGTGGGCCTCTCTAGGTCCTCTGGTGCAATTCTACTATATGCTTTTAGCCCAAGAATAGTCAAAATATAGAGTTTGTTGTTATTCACAGTTTCTGGTATCCGTTGGGTGTCTTTGAACCACGGATATGGTGGTTGTACTTTATACTGTGCAGGCTGTGATTTCGACGCAGTACATAGATGCGACACTTCCATCATCCTGTGGACTCATGGAAGAAGCACTGCAAAGGATCCCCCCCCCCCCAAAGATTCATGTATCCCCAGAAATCCCTTCCGGTCCAGTGCCTTGAGTGCTTTCCTATTCCATGCAAAACAAGAACAGTCTTGGCAACCCTAGCTGCAGGAAGTATATCACACTTTCTGTTTGTGTGTTCATCCGTATAACAGGGAGTATTCTCTGCACACAGGTTTTTTTTCCTCTGCATTTTGAAATGTGCATGCTTCCTGGAATTCTGCTTTTTCTTTCTGCTGTATTCCTTATCTCCTGATGTTGTTTGTCTGTTTTCATACTAAAAACTTTGAAGTCATGGCTTAATTTTTAGGGAATATTGAATATTGAATTTAGGGAATATTGAATAGAAAGCTCCCTTCAAACAATGGTGCAAGTAATACAAAACCTACAACAACCCACTGATACAAAACATGGATGATTTTTAGCCCTTTCAATTGAATCCTACAGGACTTGTCCCTCGAATAGAGACTTTCACTGGGAGATTGGGAAGGAATCCCAGGTGCTGTGGGCTATATTTCAAGGGAAAGAACTGTCAAATCTCTGATTATTCCTTGCCTAAGAAAGCCCTTTGAAATTCATGGGTTTGCCATAAGTCAGCAGGCAGCTTGAAGGCACAGATAGAGATGGGCTTATCAGTGAGCCAGGAGCCTTGGTTCCTCTATCCCCAGGAAGAGGGCAGTATTACTTGATTCAGGATGCAGTTCAGTCAGAAATTCTTTTGCT